CAAACAGACAATTGGGTAAGAGTGGTTTCATACACAGATATGCATCAAAGACATCCCTTGTTAATGATCTCAGATGACTGGATATGCTGAAATATAATGCCAAACAGCATTCTTTGCTAAATAGCTCCAAGTAGAGCCTTAGGAGTTTCTACCTTGTCCAAGGTAGAGTAAGTGCCACCAGTGGAATCTAGTTCCTACAGTTGACATTGAATTCCATTGGCAAAGCGTCTCCTCTGATTGGCTTTTGGCATCATTTCAAGTGTCCCCGTCCCCCAGCAGCTGCTGTGCTTTAGAGTGCCAGCGTAACTCGTAACTCGGAGAGAGGCAAAGATCATTCAGCTGCAAGCACTGGGGAGGTTTTGGCGTCTTCCACATCATAGGAAGCCAGCCAAGTTGTGCTTAAAGCCAACTTCTAAAAAAAGACCTTTCAAAAATATAAATGTTTTATAGCTGAGCTCCTGCTTGAGAAGTCTCCCCCATGTTCTGTCTCCTCTATCCCAAGACTGGCCACAAGCCATTAGCAAGGGGCAGATGAGAAGGGAAAGCTTTGACTCTCACTTTCTCCCTAATCTCCCAGACTCTCAGGGGTGACATTCTTTACTGGACTTGGGACATATCGGGGAAGTGAGCTGGGGTCCTGTCAGAAGGTGCTAAAACCCAAAGGCAAGAAAGGCATGGAGGACAGAGCCCAGACATTTGAAGCAAAGAGTTGGAGCCAGAGAAGGAACAGAAGGAAAGCCATTTGGTCCCTGCTTTGAATGTAAAGGATGATTTGATAGTGTTTATTCTTATTTTTTTTCATTCCCGTTTATTTGAAGCTAAAATTCTTTGTGATAAGTATCAGGCTTCTGTCTAACGGGACCTCTCCTGGCTTGACTGAATGTTCCTCAACATATCTATGTTTCCCGTATGTTAATAAAGGCATCCAGTATTTTCTTTTACTGTTAGGAATTAATGCAAACCCCATAGATTCAGAGACACAATGACTTTTGACAGTAGCTTTTTAAAAATGATAATAATTGCTTTTTTCACATATGTGTATATCCTAGATGGTGCCAAAGGTCCCAGATCACTGAGGGCATCAAGTTTGCTGGTGGTGCGAGGAGGAAAAATTAAGCGGAAGTTTGTGGATCTGGGGTAAGCTCTTTATGAAGTTAAAAAGCAAGCCCTCTGTAAGAGAAGGATTAAAGGAGAAAATGTCAAATTCCCCTTTCTGACTGTGTGCTGTCATTATAGGGCGCCTTTGCGAAGGAATTCCAACAAGGGAAAGAAATGGAAAGAAAAAGAGAAAGAAGCCAGTAGGTTTTCTCCAGGTAGCAGGTACGGGTGGGTGATTAAGAACAGATGTATCTCTGCATCTAAACTTTCTGGCCCCCTTCCATTGTTAACCGGAATTAGTGGTCATTATCTCTGTGCTGAAGTGATACAGCTGTAGGTGAGATGAAAACAAATTGCAGTTTGTATTTGTCTTACTTCGATTGAAGCCTACACCTGGCCTCGGGTAGATCCATTGGCTTAACTGCAGAATTATGGTCACATGAACGGTTTTAATAAATGTTTATCTAAATACAGTATAAATGTATCTGTGATGTGTCAGTTGGACACATTTCAGCTTTTTTGCCTGGCTACCCACAATTCTTGTGTCTTCTGGTTATAAGTCTGAAAGGGTAATTTTGCATTTAAGTATATTGTTGGCTTTCAAGACTGTTCTGTCCACATGCGGGTAAGAAAGACCAGTGTCTCAGTGAACTCAGCTATTAAGTTGATTTTTGCTGGCGCCATTGACTATGCTTACTGTCCAATAAACACTCTCCTATAGAGAAGTGAGCTTTGTATAGCACATCGTCAAGCTTTCCCAACTTTATTCTGAGATTATACAATTGTAAACTTAGGTTTATATAGGGAGACAGTAAAGCACAGAGCTCTCTCTGAAGTCCAACTGCCTGGGTTTGAATCCGCGCTCTCCCAGTTACTACCTTTAAAACCTTCGACAAGTTATTGAGCCTCTGTGCCTTTGTTTTCTCATATATGAAATGAGGATAATAAGAGTAGCTACCTGTTAGTGTAAGGATTAAATGAGTTTTCGTGTAAAGCATTTAAAATGGTACCTGGCACATAGGAGGCATTCAATAATAATAATAATGATAGCAATCTGCTATAATTCTTCTTATTATTTGCAAGTTACAAAGAAGTTTTATATTTGTCATTTCATTTGATCCTTACAATAAGATTGGGAGGGCAGATAATAATACCATACTTTATTGATGAAGAACTTCACCTTCATAGAATTTAATTGATTAGCCCATGATTATGCAACAAACAATTAATGTCAGTTAGCTGGGGCTTGGCCTCCTGTCCAGATGTCTTTCCAACACTGCATGTCACCTCCTAGTTACTTAAGCATCTAATGATGTTTACATTTATTTATGAATTCTGGGCATCATCCCAATAGTATAGACTAAGGAAGAAACAGACAAAATGCTAAGAATAAAAGAATGTAAAATTATTTGGGGACCACCTATCCATTTTATAGGTTGTCCCCAGCTGTTTCCTTTTTTCTCTTTTCTGGCGTACACCTTGGCGAGAAATTGTACCTTCTCCCTGGGATTACAGGAGAATGGAGGAGAGGGTGAGGGATGAGAAGAGAGAATTCCAAAATTAATTATTGTTGTTAGTCTGGGTTTCCTTTATGCTGTACAATGGAGAAAGGCAAGAAAGCTCTGTTTATATTAAGGACAGGAATCTCAGGAAAAATAAGGCCATAATGCAACTCAAGAGCACTTTTAACTTTGTGTGGTTTTAGAGTGAGAAATATAAAACAGTCTACTTTGTGCCTTAGAATTAAGAATAGAAAACTATCAAATATGCTCAGGGGAGAAAACAGATAGTGAAACCGTTTAAGGGAGAGAGAGAGATGCCCAAATGCACAATGGGAGAGAAACTTGAACACTTCCGAAGTGACACTGTGCTCCCTTCGGTCCCTGGGCTCCTGAGGCAGCCACTGCCTCTCACCTTTGGGGCCCCACCCTCAATGGGACATGAGCGCAGGCATCCAACAGAGTGGAGGGGAGAAGGTTTGACTGAATTTCGTCGTAGGAGCCAGAGAGTTCTCACGCCCTTGTGTAAATTGCAGGTGAAAGTCAAGCAGGTCCTGACTCTGTTGGCAAATACTCACCTTACTCCGGGCAAAACCACCATAGTCCAGGGTGGGCGGTCATCATCGTGCTGCTTAACCACAGCCGATAACCAGCTTTTGAACCAGCAGCCAGCTAGGCTGCCTAGTCAGCTACATTTTAAAACATGAACTCTGCAGTCTCTCTGCATCAGTAGTCACAAACAATTCACGTGTACAACATTACAAAGTAGTTTTCAGTTAGCATCATAGTTTCATAATTATTTGTAATTACAGCAGGAGGTTGACAGGACTGAACGGAATTCATGTAATTGAAACAGTAGGGCAGGGAAGAAGAAGGACTTTTCCGGGTTCAAAAACAAACTTTTGAGCTATCACAGTAATTGGTTAACAGTAATCAAATCTAATGCCAGCCTCCATTCTCCTGTGTAGATGAATAATGGGCCAGAACCTTATTCAGAACATGTTCCAGGAAGTACAGTTACTGCCCAGTAGGAGCATAATGCAGTTGAATTGGTTCCACAGGGCCCCTGAAGGTAGGTGGGTGGCAAGCACCATCAGCTGCAGGGTCCCGCTGCAGTTGTGGGGGTAAACTCATCACTCCTGTGAGGTTTTCTCAGAAAAAGCAGGGAATGATTCACAAATTGAGTTAGTAACCTCATCTTTTAGGCTCTTCATCCAGTTCTTACAAGATTGTAAAAATCTGATGAGGTCATTCAATCAGTGATAACCTAAGGCTACCGGGCTTGAAAGAGGCCAGACATTCTCTAAATGTGGTCTTGGTTTTAGTTTTTCCCTTCCCAAAGAGTAAAGAATTTACTGTATTCCTTGTGGAGACAAAGTGATTGAAATACATGACCAACATGAAACAAACAGATGAGGTTAAAATAAGAAGGAGTAAATCCTACAGAGATATATGGTTTGGTTCTGTCCTTTTCAAATACGTGCTCAGTGAACTTTCTGATTTAACCAGATAACATAGCAGATAACAAAAGCAGGAAACACTTAATCGTCAGAGCTTGTTCATCACTTAAAGTGCCTATACCAAAGAGTAAGATAAAATACTCTCCTTAGAGTAAGGAGCCACTGGTGTCAGTGGAGTGTCTATTTTTGGAGCTCTGTAGGAGAAGCTCCCAGTTTAGTCACTGAATGGAAAGCCCTGTGAGCAGATATGTGTATCTCAAAGCAAGACTAGAGGGTGGCGCGTGGGGAAATTATGGGGAAGGGAGATGACGCTCCTCTGTGGAAGCAAATCTGCTTTCACCTTAGAAGTGTGAACAGTGGAGAAAACACTGAGCTGGAATCCAGTATTCGTCCTGACTTTGCCATAGGTAAGTCTGAATTCCTTGGACTTTGGTTTCCTACCAAAATATAAGTGTGGTCAACTAAAACTACATGGTCTGTAACTCCCTATCCATCTCTGCCTGCACTATCCAGCATGGTAATCTCTAGTCAGATGTGGCCGTTGAGCACTTGAAATGTAGCTTGTCTATATCGAGATGTGTTGTAGGAGAAAAAGCATGCTCGATTTCAAAGACTTCGCATGGAAAAAAATAAAATGTGACATATCTTGGTATCTTAATAATTTTATAGTACTGATTACATGTTGAAATAATATTTTGAATATTTTGGGTGAGATAAAATATATTATAAAAATTAATTTTACCTCTTTTTTTCCATGTGGCCACTAGAAAATTTTAGTTGACTTATGTGGTTCATATTATATTTCTGTTGGACAGTGTTGATCTATATGATTCTATGAAAAACATACTCTTTTCATTTCTGACTATTTTGTTGGTCTGTAAATTAGCATGTATTCATTTGTTTGTTCATTCTTTTTTTATCTGTATGTACTCCTCTTTGTTCCAAATATTATTTGTTTATATACAAAAATACATATGGTACAGCAGTATAATTTATTTTAAAAGTAAATCGGATAGGGAAAAACAAGATAAAGCAAAAAGTAAGGTTGGTACTTAAAACAGAACATCTTCAGCAGTACTTTCATAGTAAATATAACAGTGACCTCCAGTAAAAGCCAAGAGCATAATGTCAAGGCGATTAAGAGCCTGAGTTCAAATCGCAACTCTGCCACTTGTCCTCCTGAGCAAGTTACTTAACCTCTCTGTACCTCAGTTTTCTCATCAATAAGATGGAAACATAGATTTACCTCTTCAGGTCATTAAGGGGATGGAGATCACATTTAAGCACATTTTAAGTCCTTAATAAATATAAATGGCTATCATCACTATTAATGCTTAAAGTAATTCTTATTGCAGGGATATAAAACAAAATATTTTCTGGACATACTTTTCTGGCAGTCTCATTCATGCAGGGGTGACTTTGGTAATATCTTGACGAATAAATGGACTATGCGGATTATAGTTCAGGCAATCCTTCATAGATGCCGTTTCTCTCAAAGAAACTTTAGATAAATCATGGTACTACAGTGAGTTTGAGCTTATACTGCAGGACAAGTACCTGGAGGGCAGTTCTGCCCTGTTGCTGAGCAAGGGCCAAGCCTCTGCTCCTGAGCTGGAGTTGAAACACACCCTTTCAGAAGAGCTGAGGGGTGGAATAAACACATGTACACAGAGAGAGAGAAACCCCTTTCTCTGCCTAAACCCGGTCCACAGAGGCACCCCAGAGAGGAGCCAACTTTTTCCTTCAAAAAAAAAAAACCAAACATTTTAAAAAACAAGAAACAAAAATGTAGCTATAAATGCCCGTGAAGAATGGCCATTAGAAAATGGCAGAATAATTTGAGCCTGAAAAGTTTTAGAGCGCACATTACCAAGCCACTAGTGGCCAGGAACAGTGATGGCAAAAACTCACCACTGGAGAACTTAACCTTGGCCATGTAGCTCACGTGGGCTCTCCCCTTCACTTGATATTTTTAATGCCCAAATGTAGTAGCTTTTTTCTTAAAAAGAGGATTATTTGGGTTATAAATTAAGAGTAATTTGTTAAAGTCTCCAATTTTAAAACCTAGCTTTCTTTGAGTTTAGCTCAACTTACAAATCCCGTCATTTTGTTTTACACGTCGAGTAAAATTTTATATGAAATAAAAAAGGTTTCACTTTCATGAAAACCTTCGAACAATATTAGCTTAGCCTCAGGAGAGCAGACCTGTTCCCCCATAACTGTCTGTCTTGTTTTTAGCTGCATTTATAAATTTAATCTATTT